TGAATAAAGATAAACATTACACATAAAACATCTTAATCACACAGATATATGTGGTTTGAACTTCAGAAGAAGACCTATATTCAAAAGAAATTAATAATTTTTCTTAGTTTAAAAGTTATAAATACAAAAGAAAAAAGAAAAAAAAAATATGTTAACCGTAAAAAAAATTAATATTCATAATTAACCCGGGTCATGCCAATGCAAGGCAATGCTTATAGTGGGTTGGGTTTACCTCTTTGGTCGTAGGTCTGGCACAAAACCTAGCCTTGCCAACGATCCACCTCAAATGTGGCCCAGAATGGGCCCGGCTTGCTGTGATCCGGGCCGGGTTTTGACCCAAATAAGACTGGGTTAGTTTAGCTTGCGGTTCGAACATGCTCATATCAACTCTTATTCCTAACCTTGTTTGTTTCAATTTATACTTTGGGGTTTAAACTGGTTTAGTTATGGACCGGGGGGGAGCTGGTCCACAACTAAACCAGTTCTATATAGAACCAGTTTTTAAGCCCACCTATGTTTGGCAATTCTTACAAAAGTGCACTAGTATCAATCATAACTCAGTTTTGTTCTAAACTAGTTGTTTTGTAAACCAACCCCTCCTTAGTTCACAAAAAAGAACCTGTTTAAGGCCCAAATTTTGGCCTAGGAAAAACTAGGCCAAGATTAGCCTTTTTTATTATCAAACACAATTCTTTTCAAAATGAGAGTAGAGCTAAACCTAGTCCCATCTCAAGGAGTTGCCAAATAGGCCCTTAGTACAAATTTTTGTTTGAATTAAGGTCAAATAAATAAATATACAGAAGCCTACTTCTCTACACTTAGTCGATGGGTTAAACTTAGATTTAATACAATAGTATTTCTATACTCTTCAGCACTCAAGTTATGTAGTTTTTTTAATAAACCAATTATTTAGGCTAAATAACCCCCACCGCCCTTCACTTTGGGTGATTATCATATAACCCTCTTAACTTTGAAAATATCAAAAAAAAACCTCCATTAAGTTTAGGAGCTATCAAAAAAAAACCCTTTAATTTTAAGAGTTTATTAGACCACTCCCCTTAAAGTGAAGTTAAAGGGAGATTTTCTGATAATCCCTATACTTAAGGGGAGGTTTTCTAATATTTTCAAAGTTAAGAAGGGTTATCTAATAATCATCCAATGTTAAGAGTTTCTAATATTTAACCAATTATTTACTTAGGGAGGACTTTTCATTGTGACGGTAGTTAAAAGAGACAATAATAGGCAGGAATATTTCATAGGGAATTACTAGGTGTCCAACTACACTTTAGACATATATATAGTACCTCTCTGTTTATGCAACCCTCCCATAATTCCAGTAACGTGTTTTTGTCTTAAATGAAAAGGATGGGTTTAGCTATGCCAATGCATATTAGTCCAAGGGCTTCGCCCACTTCTTCTACGAGAAATAAAGTATCAAAACACATCATCGTGACATGGAGCTTAGAAAACTACAATAAGATAAGATGAAGACGTTGCACAAATCTAAAAGTTAACCTTTAACGATTAAGTTAATATATGAGGTTTAAAAGTTAATATGTGATAAAGTGAACATCTAACAATTTTAAATGTTTTTATATTTATTTCTAAAGTTAGATGTTAAATTTAGATCTCACGTGTTAACTTTAAACCTCACATGCTAATTTTAGGATTAATTTTAGAAAACCCTCTCAACTATTTTAACTGTTGAAACCTTTCTCAATTTTTTGGGTGTTGTAGATAGCCTCTGCAATTTTCAAAATATGACTTAAACCGCTTAAACTATGAGTTGTCTCACAAAACCCCCTTATCTTTATAGTTTTCTCAAATAACTCCCTTGACATTATTAATTTAAAAAGTGTAATGACTAAAGCACCTCTATTTCGAGAAAAAGAAAACTACATGATCGAGTTTAAAAAACACCAAAGCTAAAAAATCGATATTTTATGGTGGAAGAATCCACAATTCAATGAGTTTTGATGAGGAATCACCATTCACTATCTTTAACAAATCTCGAAATTCATTTTTTCAAACATTAGAAGCTGAATAAAGTATAAAATGAAAGAATTTTGAAGTTATAAAAAATAAAAAAATAATTTGGGTTCGGATATGGAACTAGCAATAATGCTAAAGGAAGAAGACACAAGAGGAGGTATTTTAAAACACATACACACAAAATGAATGAAAATTCTTAATCTCTTATTGGTAGTATGGTCAATTTAAACCATGTTCTTGTCATGTGTTGTATTAGATTTGATATTGTTAGGTTGGGGGTTAAGTGAAAAAGATTGTGGGGGATTAAGTTTTACTTTGAAAATTAAGGGGGTTATCTGCAACATCCTATTTTGTTTTGTTTTGTTGGAGGATTTTTTGAGATAGCCTTTATAGTTGAGGAAGATTTTCTAAAATCAACCCTTAATTTTAATTGTTTGATATTAACTTTAGATATCATTTAGACCTCATATTAACTTTACACTTCACATGTTAAATTTAATTGTTAGATGTTAACTTTAACCATTAAATATTAATTTTGATGTAACTTTAGAAGATAGTTTTTTTTTATGGATGAGAGATGATAGTTTCAGCCAAAGAAAAAAACTTTTGAGGGATGTGGTGAAGAAGAAGAAAAAGATAGAGATGTGGAACGATGAGGAGAGCATAGATGAGTGGATGAGGAAGTAGATGAGATGAAGGAGTGACAAGGACGGAATTGAGATGGAGGAGAGAGGAGCGAGAAGAATGAAGTTGGATGGAGGAAGAGGAGGAGGGAGAAGGATAACTAGAGGAGAGAGAAGGGCGGAGGTGAGAAGGTAGAGGTGGAGTAGAGGAGAATGAAGGAGGATGGATGTGGGACAAATAAGAGAAGAAGAGGGAGGAGGTGGAGTGGAGAAAGAGCAAGAGTATAGAATGAAGGAGGAGAGGAGGAAGACAAGGAGAACTTTAGGGATTGAAGAAAAATATAGATTGAGGAGGGTTTTTCACATGAGAAGTTAGGTTAAGGAACTAAAACATATAACCAAAAAGTCAAGGAAGTCGCATTGAAATTTTTAATTTGGAGCGTAGACACAATCTTTCCTTTAAATCAACAAACTGGAGGTCTATTTTAAGAAAATTTATCGGAATTTGAAATATATGAAATGTGGTTTACTTATATTTAATAAAAGAGGTGGGGACCAATATAAAAAAACAAAATATAAATATTATCAAAGAAATTGAAGATATTCAGACACTTAAGATAAGAGAAGGAAATACAATACAAACGTCTAAGCACAATATTTTAGAGTTCTACTAATAATATATAAGTTATAACGTTGACTTTAAAGACATGAATAAATTGAAAAAAGCAATATGGTTTTAGATCAACATAGAAGAATAGATGCTGAAAATGAACATACGGAATCCAAGAACAAATTGCATACCAATTCTATAAAATTTGAACATTACATGTACAAAAAGTTTGATATACCAGCCTAAAACTTAAGCTAGATAAATACCACTAAATATCAATTGTGTCAAAACTCAGCTAATTGTTATATCGGGCAGACGTGAGGACCAGTGCTTGGTAGCCATAGTTGATTTTGTTAAATAGTTCATTTTGTTAAATAAGCTGTCAGCACACCCCAAAACATATTTATTCGCATCTACAATATGAATTTTAGAGGGTCAGAGAATTCAATCCTTAAACATATAGTATAGATAAATAATAGGCTAAATATCAGAAAAGCCTCCTTAACTTTGGACGATTGTCAAATAACCCCTCTCAGCTTCGAAAATATTAGAAAACCTCTACTCAAGTAGAGGGATTATTAGAAAAATCTTCCTTTAACTTTGAGATTTTATCAAAAAAATCCCCTTTTACTTTGATATTTTATTAGAAGACCCTCTTACGAAATGTCACTTTTAAAGAGAGTTTTGATAGAATCTCAAAATGTCACTTTACTTAGAAAGCCCCCCACCCCACCCCACGTCACCTTTTTTTTTTTTTTTTTTTAGTTTTTTTGGGGGTGTGGGGGGTTTGGTTTTCTGATATTTAGCCTAAATAATAGTATCCAACCACACTGTCCGACACGGCAAGAAAATAGGTGACGCTCCTAATAGAATTTGTTTACTTCTCTTGAGCTTCGCGACGTTTCTCATCCGCCCCCAGCCTGGACCAAACTACGTCTCTCGGCTGAAAACTCTGCCTCCGTCACCATCGCCCCCGAGCCCCAGGCCATAGCTTTGTGCTTTTCTCGTCATAAACTGGAGGCAGCGAGAGCTTCATCACTCGACCTTATCATGTCCTCTCCTCTCAACCTACCGCTCGCGACTGCCATCCTATTCTCCCTGATGCTCTTGCCCCCTGCTCTCTCTGGAGTGAGCGTCACTCACCTCCCAGGCTTCACCGGCCCCCTTCCCTTTCAACTGGAAACTGGGTATGTATGTTTTCGGGTTTTATCGGTATTGGCCCCTTATAATCTTTCATACTTCGAGGGTTAGTCCTTCAGATCATTGAAATTGCTGTTTTAGGTCCATCAAATCTTAAGCTATTATGGAAAGTAGCCCCTTAACTTGCTATTTCAGCTCTTGATTGGAGGGACTAACTTGGTAACGACTTTAGAACTGAGAGACCTACTAGCAATTTCAATGGACTAATTTCAAAAAGCAGCTTAATATCTGAGGGACCTAATTGAAGTTTCGATGATTTGAGGTGCTGATTTCATAACATGAAAGATTGATTTAAGGAACTAACATCGAAAACAATGTATTTTATGATCCATTAATTTATTTGTATTGGCTGGTGTGTTGCCGACCTGACCCACAAAAAGACTCAGATCACAACCAATGACTTGGGTGTGTACCATACCAGCAGCACAGTAACTTGTTTAACCATTCAATTTTGATGTAGTTTTCTTGTTCTTTTGATAAAATTAAAGGTATGAGAGTATGGGAAACGAGGAGTTCTTCTACTATTTCGTTCAGTCGGAGAGAAACCCGAGAGAGGACCCGCTCATTGTGTGGCTCACTGGAGGCCCTGATGGTTGCTCTGCTTTGTGCGGTTTCCTCTTGGAAATTGGTAACCTTCCCCTCTCCCATTATTTATTTATGTTATTCCTTGCACAGAAATCAGTATCGATCTGTAATTGTTGTCGATATATAAAACTAAAAAAGTTCTTTTTCTGATAAGTGTATGACACAATGAGATTTTGGGCATTTTCACACGTGAACATATAATGATAATAAAAATAATTAATGTTACTTATTTCAGTATCTGTTATATGTGCCATAAATATTGTTAAATTTTCGTGGACATTTGTGGCAGTGGTAGAGTGGAGGAAAACCACCTCTACGTATGCAAAACAAGTTTTAAGCTTCCAAAATTTGAAAGATTTTCATATATAAGTTGTATGTAATTTGTTATAAATAATCGAAAATTGGTGTACTCTATGTATATTAGAGGGAGGGAGGGAAGTTCTTCCGGTTCTATATGCAATTAGAACAGTCTGTCCCTCTTTTGTCCATGGTCATGGACCAAGGGTCGAAAATGTATATTCATGCATATTTTTTTCTTCCTTTTTTGTCTTCAAAAATTTTCCAGTGTTTCTACTTGATCGTTTTTTGTGTATTATGTCAAATTGTTGGAATACTATTTTGGGTTTCCCCCCAAGACACCACCTTTAAAATAAAGTCATTATATAGAAGCCATTTTTAAAAGGGATTTGTATTGCAATCAGCCACCTTCCAGTCAATTTTTCATTGAAAAACCCAAAAATACCCTTAAAACACACATTCAAGACACATGCTTTGTTTAATTAATGTCTAGATCTGGTTAGTATACAAGTCATCTGCCTTGAACACGAGTTTATCGTTATTTTTGGGTTTTCATTTGACTTGGAGGTGGTTGATTGCAACATAAATCTCCTTCAAAGTCAGTTTATGTATTAATTGACATTCAAAAATGGTTTCTGTATAGTCACCCTATTTTTCGAGTATGGTAATGCTTTCATTAGTTATTGCATGTACTGTGCTGATGTTTGTTTAGCTTACAATAAAGATGCATACTTCCGTGAATCTTCCCGCTATGAGTTCCTTATATGTTTCGCATCCACAGGTCCTCTAAGGTTTATAATTGCAGAGTATAATGGCAGCTTACCATCTCTCATATATAATCCTTATTCATGGTCAAAGGTAACACCATATGCGAGGAAATTTAGCATTCGGCTTCCTTCTTGTTAACAACTTGTCCAATGTTTAGGTTGCCAACATTATCTTTCTTGATGCTCCTATTGGATCCGGGTTCTCATACTCAACATGTGCTAGCGATTATGAGCTCAATGACACAGTCTCGTCACTGCAAACCTGTAATTTTCTTATAAAGGTAAATTTATATCAAATTCTAAGGACAATTATGACTAACTAGAGAAAAGTCAAACTTATGATTGTTCTAACTCCATTTACAGTGGTACGAGAGTCACCCAGATTTCCTATCCAATCCTCTCTATATTGCGGGTGATTCATACGCTGGAAAACTTGTCCCATTGGTTACTCATGCAATAGTGACAGGTATAAGAGGATTTTGATTTTAATTATATAGTTTAAAATAAGACATAAAATGTTTTCTTTTGGCTCCTTGTCTTTAGATGTCATGGTTACAGCAATATAAGTTAGTGTCAGTAATGCCTATATGATGATTGTCAGATGTAACATAAAAATAGTTAGAAAATTTTATGTATCTTATCGGTTGGGGATACCAAATTTTTAATGCATTATGATTTGTGAGCAGGTGAACTATCACCATTATTCTCTAATCTCAAGGTATGTGCTTGCATTTTTCCCCTCGCAAATTACTTACTTTGATCGATAGCCTTTCTTTTATTTGACCTCACTGAATGTGTAGCCTTTTGAATGGTATTTTCGTTCATGTGTCATCTTCCTTTTGAATGAACTTATGAAATCTGTCATTAAATACTAAGTCTCATCATGCATAATTGCACATACTTCATTGACTGGTCATAAATCTATTGATCATAACTACACTTCCTCCAAGATCTTGAAATGCTTTCTGGCCTTCTAGCATGTTTGTAGCAAGCTAATCATTATTTGATCATGACCTTCTAAATACTATTTCTTGTGTAATTTCTGATTTTGAGAGGTTTTCATATTTCTTCCCTGAACCACTTGGCAAACAACTCCATTCAAGATCAAATTTTCTGAAGGTAGGCACTTACTCTTCCCTTAAATTTCTGGGGAATTTTCATAGTCGGATTTCCTATTGTTAGCCAGACTTGCTGCTAACTTTAATTTGTAAGTTCTAGGTCTGCACTATGGATGATCAAAGAAAAAGTGTGCTTGTTAAGCATGAGCCACCAAATGTTATCACCATTGCCCACCAATTAGTTCAGTCAATAAAGTCAATAACTTCCCTTCAACATTATCATTTGTATTTCTAATAGTACATATCATTAATCCTTCAGAGATTGACTTCACACAACTTTGAGACTTTGATAGTTGATGCCCATCATCTAGACAAGCACAAGGCTCCTCGGTCCGATGAATCTCATCCTGTTGCTCAATCTGATGTGAGACATAATCCCACAAGTCTAACTTTAGAATAAGAATACTTTTTGAAGGATAATAAAAAATTTAAAAGCATTTATATGCCATATTACATGAAGAATACCAAATTTAAAACTTTATCTCCTCCCTTTCATGTCTTCATTAGATTAATTGCAGAAATTATATATTGCTTTGTACAAACGAAATATACTTGGAGCTGGTGTGTCATGAAGAAAGAACAAAACCTTTAAACTTATTGATACTGAGCAGTTTTAGTTGGTTTCAGGGTTATATAATTGGCAACCCAATAACAGATAAATTATTTGACTCCAAGTCCCGGGTACCATTTTCTCATGGGATGGCAATTATATCAGATGAACTCTACAAGGTAACCTTTGTTATTTTATTAGAAACTATTTGGGTATTTCATCTCTACTGTAATGGAATACAATCAGAATGACAGATTTTTATTACTAGCCTATACTAAGTTGTTCAGCGCGCAAATGGGAAGCGTGCATGCTGCAAAACAAAACCATACAAGCATCACATTGGTACAACTTATACACAGTTGATCTAATGTCCTGCGAATAAAGTTTGGTGAGGGTTGAAAACACATGGGATATTTTGTATGCAATTTAGAATTGATTTTTATGAAACCTATTGATATTAAGAATAAATGCGGTAAAAAACTGATGTACTTTGAAATTGACATGACAAAATTGACATTAACAATTGTCAAAGGTCTTCTGCTACACCATAACTCCAAAGTTGTGGTGAGGGTTGATGGTCATAGTTTTATACTCTAGCATGCCCTTGCTGGTTGAGCATCCTTCTCAGATGACATTTGGACTTGAGAAGCGCGATATCTTTTTTTCTAATTTGCTTTAAATTTGTGGCCATTGGGAGTTGAACTTGGATTGCTCAGTCAAATGTCTTCCACTACACCAAAACACAGAAAGCTTTCTACTTCACGATTGGGGCTTGTAGTTTATACTCTAACAACAATATTCTTGGAAAGAAACGGAAAGATATTAATTTAATCATTTCATAAGTTGATAAAATCTTCAAGGGGATAGGATAAAATGTTCAAATGACGCATTTTTCCTTATCAAAGGTTTCCCTTCTTTTTCAGGAGATAAAGGAAAATTGTGCAGAAGAAGAAGACTATGATCACCCTAATCCTCAAAATTTACTATGTTACGGGGCACTTTCTGAGTTTAAAAAGGTTGGCATATATATATATACCTCAAAATAGAGGGGGAAAAGAGAAAAAGAAAAACAGTGAAAAGGATAGATAAATGGAAAGGAGTTTAACAACTTTATTCTCATTGTCTACGCGTGTGCATCTTTCTCTTGTATGCAGTTTTGTTCAGAAATTTACGATAAATACATTTTGGAACCCAAGTGTCCTCCGCCTTTTATGCAAAAATCCATAGTCACAACTAAGAGGTCACTAGGAGAGGAGCTATATAAAGATATCCTTCTACCATCACAAGCTCCCGATATGAAGTGTAGAACTGTAAGTCTTGATCCCTTGTTAGATTATGGACTACTTTATGTATATTTGCATATAAGCTGCACTAAGTCAGCTAGCAGCTATATAGTAAAGTATCTCATACTGATCCATTTTCATATCTCCTATCTTTTATACAGCAATATGCTCAATACCTGTTGGATTACTGGACAAACAATAGCGCAACAAGAGAGGCTCTTCACATAAAGAAGGTACAGACATCAAGAAATCCTATCTTAAAATTTCAAATTTTGTATGATTCCGGAATTGCATAATTGCAAATGTGTTAAGCTGAGACCTCACAAAAAAAATATATTCTTGAGTACTAGGGAAGTATACAAGAATGGGTGACATGTAATCGTAGCTTGCATTACACAATGAATATTCCTAGCACATTGGTGTATCATCATGATCTAATACAAAGAGGATACAGAGCTCTAGTATACAGGTATATCCCCTAAACTTAGCCCCTGCTGGAGTTATATATTGACTTCGATTTCAGCTGAAGTCTAAGACATTTCTATGCAGTGGGGACCATGATTTGGTGGCTCCGTTCAGAGGGACACATGCATGGATAAGGTCTCTCAACTTCTCCATCGTCGATGACTGGCGATCATGGCATGTACATGATCAAGTTGCCGGGTAAGTTGTTAAAACATAATCAATATTGTATCCATTTGTTATGTATTGCTATGTTATTTTGATATCAGTCCCTCAAATCTTTCATCTTTCAAGATTAGCCCGTCAAATCTTTGAAAACCGCCATTTGGTCCCCCCCATATTATATAAGTTGTTTGAAATTAGTTCCCCTACTTAAGGCCTCTTTGGATTAGGGGTAATATTCCTTTAACTTTGGGTGGAACTTCAGCTTTACCCATTTTAATACAAACTCAAACCTGACTCAGGGCAACAGAGAAGAACTTACATGTCGATTTTGGGTGCGACAGAGAGATAAAAATTCCTCAATTCTCAAAATATGAAGCAGGAAATAGAGAGAGGAAAACTGGCATGGTTTTTTTTTGGGGTGTGTGTGTGGGGGGGAAGAACCGAAAGCAAAATATCTCAACAAAGTGAAATATCAGCTCTTCCTCTCATCAGTTCTAGGACTGACTTGTCGAGGGAACCTACAAGCTATTACAAAACTATTTTATGTGGTTCGGCAACTTGCTTACGTCCACGGGGCAAGGAGGGGGGATCTACAATTAGAGAGAAAAAAATACAAATGGGTTTACAATCACACAACTCTCACAATTAAACCCTCAAATAGACTCCTTGCTTTTCCTCTCAAAAAAGGTCAGCCTCCAAAACTTTTTCTCTTCACGAAGCCCTAGGATTTACCCTGCTGCCACCCGAAGCCAACGAAGCCGCCTGCAGTTTTATTTCTCCTCATGCACGAAAAACAAAAACCTAGCTAAGTCGGTATTTATAAGAGAGAGCTGCTTTGCGTGGGCCGCCTGCTTGCTCTGCACCGCAAGTTGATTTTGATGGTGGGCCTCCCAGTTCACTTGATTGAGAACGTGATCTTTTCACGTGACCCCCACACGCCTTTCACAATTCTATCTCTTCACATGCGTTCACAATTCTCCACCTCGACGAAGTTTTCACAAAACTGAGCCGACACCAACCAAACCAAATGTTCCACTTGTTACGTCCAGTACGAAGTGAAACAATTCACAACAACGGACTAAATCCACAACAAGTCGAGAACCCAAATGAGAATGCAAACACTCCAAATGTCGGTATGAACCCATCAAATCAGTTGCATCATAAAGACTGCCTACGTATCCCCTTGCCTAAGGAATCAAGCCTCACGTGGTTCACCCAAATGGCCTCCAAAGACCTCAACATCGAAGAATGTTCAAAAGCTCCAAACAATGATCAAACTTGACACCTGAAACAATTTTGGTCAACATATCTGCAGGGTTGTCCTTTGTGTGGATCTTCTCCAATATGACATCACTGTCATCCAAAACATCACGAACAAAGTGGAATCTGACATCGATGTGCTTCGTGCGCGCATGATAAACCTGGTACATCGATGTGCTTCGTGCGCGCATGATAAACCTGGTTCTTCGCCAAATAGATAGCTAACATGCTATCACAATATACCCGAAGGGTTGCGCGCATGATAAACCTGGTTCTTCGCCAAATAGATAGCTAACATGCTATCACAATATACCCGAAGGGTTTCCTATGCAATTCCCAAGTTCTCCAATAATCCATGTAACCATAAAGCCTCCTTAACAGCTTCAGTCACCGTCATATACTCCGCCTCTATACTATAGAGCCACTGTAGACTGAAGTGTACATCTCCAACATGTCGGTGCTCCTGCCAATGTAAACACATATCCTAAAATAGACCGACGCTTGTCAAGATCTCCCGCATAATCTGAATCCACGTAACCAATACAATCTTGTCCTGTCTTCTCATTCTTCTGAAAAATCAAACCAACATCCACGGTACCTTTGATATACCGTAAAATCCACTTCACGGCCTCCCAATGACCCTTCTCGGGATCGTGCATATACCTCGATACCATGCTCACGACATGTGATAAATCTGGCCTCGTACACACCATCGCATACGTCAAGCTACCTACTACACTGACATATGGGACCTTCAACATATAATCTCTGTCCTCAATTGAAACAGACGACATACTAGCTGAAAGCTTGAAGTGGAGAACCAATGGAGTGCTAACTGCTTTTGCATTGCCATCATAGCTGAATTTCTTCAGCATCTTCTGCAAGTAATTCCTCTGTGTTAACTTTAACCTCCCATTCACCCTGTCTCTCTCAATCTTCATACCCAATATCTTCTTTGCTTCTCCAATGTCCTTCATTTTAAATTCGGATGACAACTCTTTTTTTAACTTTCTAATAGCTGAAGTATTCCTGGAAGCTATGAGCATATCGTCAACATATAACAGCAAATAAATATACTCACCATTCTATAGCTTGTGCATGAAAACACATGGGTCATATGGGCTCCTTGTGTACCCCTGGCTAATCATGAAGCTGTCAAATCTCTTGTACCACTGTCGTGACGATTGTTTCAATCCATAAAGAGATTTCTTCAGCTTGCAAACCAAATCTTTTTTTCATGCAGCTTTGAATCCCAAATGTTGTGTCATGTAGATCTCCTCATCTAAATCTCCGTGTAGAAATGTTGTCTTCACATTCATCTGGATCAAATCCAAATCCAGCTGTGCCACTAACGCCAATAAAATCTGAATCGACGAATGCTTCACAACGGGTGAAAATACATCGTTATAATCAATGCCTTCAAGTTGTGCATATCCCTTGGCAACCAATCTGGTTTTAAGCCGAATGTCCCCAATAAAAGATCCCTCCTTCTTCGCATATACCCATTTGTAACCAATAGCTTTCTCACCATTAGGTAGCTATACAAGTTCCTAAGTGTCGTTCTTCTGAAGAGATCGCATCTCCTCCTCCATAGCTTTCCTCCACCTGATCGAATCGGGGCTAGACTCTGCCTTCCTGAATGTGGATGGAACCATATCATCAACGATCTCCATTGATAATGCATATGCGACCATGACATCATTATACCTAGCTGGCCGATGAATCACCCTTCTAGGTCTATTCGCTGCAATAGACTCCTGAACATGACCCTGCTCCTGAGTCTCATAATCCACTATATCCTCTATCTGCCCAGCTGTCATCTCATCTCCTCCCAGTGTCACCTTTGTAGGAGTCTCGATGGATACAATGTTTTCTGAAGTGAGTGGAGTCACATCATCCTCTACCTGCTGCGATATCTCCCGAATCTGGTCTTCCTCCACCTGCTGAGAAACTTGAGGCTTCATCATGTACGTCTCGTCAAATGTGACATCCCTGCTAATAACTATCTTCTTGTCCTGTGGATCCCATAACTTGAAGCCTTTAAATCCATCTCTAAATCCCACAAAGACTGCTTTCCTCGCCTTCAGATTTAATTTACCATCACTGACATGGTAATAAGTAGGACACCCAAATATCCGAAGCGACTCATAGTCAATAGTTACCAAACCAGAGCAACGCTCCAACGGAGTCTTCCCCTGTATCGTAGTGCACGGCAACCTATTCACAAGATGGTTCGTATAAACCAACGCATCGGCCCAAAAGGATCTAGGCAATCCACTCTGCGTCATCATACATCGCACCTTCTCCAGCAATGTACGGTTCAATCTCTCAGTCACCCCGTTCTATTACGGTGTCTCTTGAACTGTGAAGTGTCGTCTAATGCCGTGATCCCGGCAAAACTGCAGAAACGGAGCACTTTTATACTCTCCTTCGTTATCTGAATGTAAAGTCTTCACATTTCTACCTGTTTGCAGTTCTATTTTTTTCCACTCTACAAAAATATCCAGGACCTCATGTTTATGCTTCATAGGGTATACACAATACCTCCTGGAATAGTCATCAATGAAAGTGACAAAATAGTTGGTCCCACCAAGTGATGTATGTTTGGAAGGACCCCAAACGTCTGTGTGAATGTAGTCCAATGTACATTGGGTATTATGAATAGCAGTCCAAACTTCACTCTCGTCTTCTTCCCAAGTACATAGTGCTCACATAGGTCCATCTTGCAGGTTTTCGTACTTTTTAATAGCCCATGTTTTGCCAATGACTGCAGGGACTTATCTCCTGTGTGTCCTAGTCTCATGTGCCATAATGTAGTAGTGTCCTCCTCTATAGTGATAGAAGCTATCAGACCCCCTGTAATTGTCTTGCCTTTCAAGTAGTATAGAAAGTTTTTCTTGACTCCTCGCATCACCATCATAAAACCCTTCGTGACCTTCGTTGTAGTATCCTCTAAGATCACCCGATAACCAGCTGCCTCCAAAGTACCAAGAGAAATAATGTTCTTCGTCAACTACGGCACGAACCTCACTTCTTTCAATTCCGTCACCACTCCGTCATGCATCCTAATCCGGACTGAACCAATACCACCAATAGGACATACGTGGTCATTTCCCATAAGCACGATATCCCATCTTTTCAGCTCCTCAAAGCTAGAGAACCAATCCCTCCTAAAACATATGTGATATGTGACTCCTGAATCCAACATCCACTTCGTGGAGTCGGCATAGCAAACCGACGGTAGTGCAGGGCACGAATAGCCCGAAGAATCTGACTCTGAATATTCATCAATAGCTTTTGTAACATCACTTCTGAAGCTTGTACAGCTTTCCCCTTGTTCTTCCCGGCTTTGTCCTTCAACTTTGGGCAGTCGATCTTCCAATGTTCATCTTCTTTACAAAAGCGACATTGATTTCTACCGATACTCTTATGACCACCTCTATTCTTCGATTTTGAGTGGTTGAACTGGCGGCAATTTGGATCACGGCCTCGAACTGCTAATGCATCTCCCGATGCCTTCTCGGAGGGTTCACCATCACTCTTTCTCAACTCATAATTCACCAAAGCTGATGTCACCTCCTTATAGCTAACAGTAATTCTTCTATTGATCATAGTGAGAACGAACGTACCGTAATCATCCTCGGGCAACGAACACAAAAGTAACATCGCATTGTCTTCATCCTCAACCATGATATCCACATTGGCCATATCTGAAAGTAGCTTCGTGAAATTGTTGACATGCTCCCTGATGAAAACTCCTCTCTTCATCTTGAATTGGTAAAACCTCTTCTTCAAGTGAAGCCGATTCTCAATGCTTTTCGTAAGATACTTCTCATTGAGTGTTTCCCACATTCTCTTCGTCGACGTCTCGTTCATTACGTCATAAATAAGATCCGGCGTCAAGCATGACCGAATAACTCCACAAGACCTACTATTTATCTTCTTCCAAACCTTGTCCTCAATGTCTTCGGGTTTTTCTTGTAACTCAAGAGTCTCCTTCAAATTCTGTGCATCCAATGCGTCCATCACCTGACACCTCCACAATCCGAAATTAATCTTGCCGTCGAACTTCGGGACATCAATCTTCGTGTTATTGATGCTCAGACTTTGTATCGCCTTCGTAAGAGACGAACCTGATGTGCTTGCTTCTCTCATGTTGTCGATCTAACTCTTCAGATATGAATCCTTCACCGAATCCTTCGAACAAGCCTCAAGCCAAATGGTGAATCCTTCGAACAAGCCTCAAGCCAAACCTGAAGCTCTGATACCACTTGTTGTGCGCAGCGGAAATTTCGGCAGCACCTCCGGTGCGCAAGGTGCACAACAAGAGATTAGATCACAACGAAATTCCTGTTTTACAAAGGAAACAAGAACCGAAAGCAAAATATCTCAACAAAGTGAGATATCAGCTCTCCCTCTCATCAGTTCTAGGACTGACTTATCGAGGGAACCTACAAGCTATTACAAATCACAGCAAGATAAACTATTTTACGTGGTTCGGCAAATTACTTACATCCACGGGGCAAGGAGGGGGATCTACAATTAGAGAGGAAAAAATACAAATGGGTTTACAATCACACAACTCTCACAATTAAACTCTTAAATAGGCTCCTTGCTTTTCTTCTAAAAAAAGGTCAGCCTCCAAAACTTTTTCTCTTCACGAAGCCCTAGGATTTCCCCTGCTGCACACCGCCCGAAGCCAACGAAGCCGTATGCAGTTTTATTTCTCCTCATGCACGAAAAACAAAAAACTAGCTAAGTCGGTATTTATAAGAGAGCTGCTTTGGGTGGGCCGCCCGCTTGCTCTGCACCGCAAGTTGATTTTGATGGTGGGCCTCCCTGTTCACTTGCTTGAGAACGTGATCTTTTCACGTGGCCCCCACACGCCTTTAACAATTCTATCTCTTCACGTGCGTTCACAAGGATAGGATAGTAAAGTAATCTCCATAATTAAGCACCAACTCAAACATGATTAACATGGATGGATTTTGTAACTGAGGGGCTAATTTCAAAAGTATTGTATGATTTAGTGACCTAATAGCAATTTTAATGATTGTGTGTGGGTGTGATGGGGTTTGGGGGGGGGGGAGACATGAAAGATTTGAATGGACTGCTATCGCTATACCGAAAATATTAATAATCTGTTTATCGTATTTGTCTTAGATATACAAGAAAGTTTAAGGACGATTTGACGTTTGCAACGGTAAAGGTAAGAAGCATTCTTAAGCATTACTTCAGATTTTCATCTCAAGGAGTATTACATTGTACCTTTCATTGGTTATGTAGAATGCTGGGCATACTGCAGCTACATACCAGCCAGAGAATTGTTTGGCTATGTTTGAGAGATGGATATCGCACGAGAGCCTATGATATACATATGCCATATGGGTTACCTCCACAAGAGGACTTTAATTTGTTTATCTTCAAGTGCCTCTTGGATCAAAAAGTAAAGTTGTGGATTTATTTTAGTTCACTGTTACATTATCAATTTGTCGAATTGTTTTAAAAGAAAATTTGTTATAAAGGGGGGGGGGGGGGGGGGCTACAAGCACATGGATGAATGATATTGCATTAAGTCATGCATTTCTGATCTAAAGATAACAAAGTAATAATGGAAACCGAAGCCAATAACCATAACTAAAATGTTTATGTGAGACTGACACGTTGAAACCTAAGCATTCTCACCATCCGATAATGTACACTTCGGGCATTCGACTCGAACTGATGCGCAAGCCGTTGCCCCAACTTTCTTGTCCATCTGTTTTAAGGAATATTCCTTCTTCCAGCATTTTATTAATTCTCTATTATTTTCTTAATTTAAATATCTCATATTATGGATTTAGACGAATCTGTATCATTTTAATTTTTGGTGAGAGAAACTTTTACGACTGAGATTTCTACGCTGTGATTCTTTCTTCTTCTTCTTTTTTTTTTTTAATTTTACGTTCAAAATTTATCGGATGGGATGGGTACCAATTATATGCAGAAAAGAACAACAAAAGAAATAAGAAAATAAGAGCCAAGTACAATTTGAAGAAGGTCAACTCCGAAATGACTCCCATGCAAAATTCTGAAATTTTCTCCCTCAAACATAGCCACATTTTGCGAGTCCACGCCACCCATGAACCAAGGACGTCCCTCCCAAACTCTTCCACAAGCTACAATTAAGGAAACAACAAATCATCTCTTCTTCTTCCCCAAACTAATCCTCAAAACTTTATCCCAACTTTTAATTCTTATAATTAAAACAGTGTCTCTCGCGACTTACCTCCTCATATACACGTACCATCAACTGAAATATTTCACCAATGAGAAAGTTGTGCCCTAACCTAGACCGTGAAGACGGACTTGACACGGTGCTGGAGGTGCCGATACCCGACGAGATGCTAGCGAGTATTGGGAGCACGGCGTCGGCGAGGTGGAAGAACATGCAGGCGTGGCTCAAGACGCAGGCCTTCGACAAGGCCACCGAAGGGCCGTCGCCCGTAGGGAAAAACACCGAAATACAACTGCTGCTTAACGTCGTTGGTGTGCCGCTCATTCCGTGCCCTGTGCCTTTCGATCAGGCTTTCAGCAAGTCAATCCGTGATTGCTCCGTTGTAAGTTCTAAATTCGTTTTCATTCGATCGAATAAATGTTCTTCTAACTGTGATAAATTTACTATATGTTCACATAGTTCCATCTTTAATTTGCAAATAGACTTCGTTGGTTAAAATTTCCGACTCTTAATTTTATCCTCGGTAGGCTTACTATTTTCACAAGAGGCAACTTCTGCCAAAATTTTAATTACCAGGACAAAAGAGTTCAAAAAAAATAAAAAATTTTAAAACCAAGGGTGTCTATCTGGCAACAACGGAACTACGAGGATAGCATATAGCAATACTATAAAGGTGTTATATGTACGATTTATCCATATTTATGATGATAATTTTGATACCGCGAGATTCTACATTGTAGGCAATATCGATCTGCCAAAACTACATGAAATTTTCTAGTCACATGTAGTCTCATTGTTGCGGATAAACCCCCTAGGTTAAATTTTATTGACTATTTTATCCTCAGATATACGCCCATTAATTTGCACCCAGAGAGACAGTATCTTCTGTCAAATTTTCGCTAAGGGTGAAAGAGGTAAAAAAAAAAAAATAGCTGCAAGGAGTCTATCCGCAACAAATTAAAGAAACTGCGAGAGCAGCAGTAAGTACAAAACAACGATGCTACATATATAGGGTCTATGCGCAATTAACCCAAACTGTTGTTATGATAATTTAATACAGCAAGCTTCTACGGCCAAATATATCCTCCAACAATACATCGCGGCAACAGGGGGGCAGGCTGCTCTACAAAATCTGAGAAGCATGTATGCGATAGGGACGGTGAAGATGAGCGCGTCGGAGTTCCACATGGGAAACCAGAGCGTGGCGACTAACGGACGGGGGGAGATCGGAGGGTTCGTGCTGTGGCAAAAGACTCCCGATCTCTTCTACTTCGAGCTCATCATGGCTGGCTGCAAGATGAGCGCGGGGAGCGACGGTAAGGTGGCCTGGAAACAATCAGCCGAGCAGTCGCACGTGTTGCGGGGCCCACCTAGGCCGTTACGACGGTCACTGCAGGTACACATTTAGGGGGTGTTTGTTTCCATGAAAGTGAGAAGTAAAAGTGAGAAAATGACTCGCTTTTATCACTTTTAGATGTTTATTTTATTGAAAGTACATATAAAAGTGAAACACAAAAATTCTGCCAGGTAAGATTTAATGTATATGTTATTTCTCTTAGAAAAGTGCCGATGTCATATGAAAGTGGAGCGGGGACCACTTTAATCAATTAGAAAATAATTTTTAATTAAATCTCTTCAATTTTGCAAATAGTGCCTGATGATTTCTTTTCTTCTATAGACAATGCGTACCGAACTTTCAAAGTTGACTTTATTTTTTTTAGACCTCTCTATATTAGTCCCTTGAATTCTTACTATTTGCTCCTTTGTCCTCAAATTACTACAATTGCTACACACAAAATATAAAATGTAAAAACATCATAACCGTAAGACAAGTATTGGATGGTAAGATAAAGAAAACTTTACAAATAATTTATTTTTGTTAAACAAATAAAAGAGTAATATTATCTAATGAATAATACTCACATTCAGTTCATATATTTGTAGCTTCCAAAAGACCATTAAAACGTAATATGATTTTATAATAATAAGTAAATAAAATGATGTTGCCACTTCATCTTTACTTTACTACTTTCAATAACAATTTGGCTTTGTAAACAAATAATGTATTTCACTTGCATGCTGACGTGAATACACTTTCTCACTTGCAAAAAAAAGTGACTTTCACACTTTTTGTTAGCCAAACATCCACTTAACTCCAATTAGTTAGTTAGTGCAGTGTTTGGTAAGCTGCATAGATAGCCTTCAGTTTTAGTTACAATGCAGTTGTCATTTATATATGACTAAAATATTGCAACCGTTATTGCATGCAACTATAGTTATAATCAAGACTGTTATGAGGATCCTTGCAAGTACCAATCTAATTTAGTTCATTTAATGTATTAGTGATTATTAATCTTAATCTATATATGGGGTACATATAATGGTCAGAGTCGGATATTTTCTAAAAACGCTTTTAAGCATTTCTCTCAAATATTTAAAAACTAAACCAAAAAAAAAAACATAGTTTAGTCGTCATGATCAAAGGTGTATATACCTATATAATAGAGCAAGATGATATAGTGTAGAGCTAGTGCTACAAAGGAACTATATATTTGCAATTAACCTTCTATTTAATATAATTTGAATAAGAAATCTTATTTTTATTTAGAATAGTACTCAGAAATTCATGTCATTTTTACTTTATAACCATAATGAGTTAGTAGTGCTCATGTAGATTACTCTTTGAAACTTATTTTCTCTATAGTTTAATTTTGACAGATTGATCCTCTGAAATCGAACGTCACTAGATATTTGTGATAGATAGACTTTGTGCTATTATCTTCACACCTCACTTTGTTATTGTCTGCTAAATCTGGCAAAATCAAGCTTCAAAGTTTTCATCTATCAAAATCAAACTACGAAGATAGTTATTCCAAATAGTGCAAATATTGTTTAACTTCTTAAAGAGTCTTACTTAATCCTTAAGCACAAAACACTCTCTAATATACAATGCCCACCCTTAGGGTTTGGATCCCAGGGCAACTGCCAACCTCTTCTCTGAAGCAGTTTGTATCGGCGAAAAGATAATCGACGGTGAAGAATGCTTCATCCTCAAACGTGAAGCCAAACCTGCAACATTAAAAGCCCGAAGCGCATCAAATTTTGACATAATCCACCACACAATGTGGGGTTACTTCAGCCAACGCACTGGCCTCATCATCAAGCTCGAAGATAACCACCTCCTCCGAATGAAGGCAGGACGACGAGGTGAGAGCATATTTTGGGAGACGAGCATGGAATCTGTGATCAAAGATTACAGGTATATTGATGGGATCAATATTGCTCATGGCGGAGAGACTGCAGTCACATTGTTTAGGTATGGAGAAGGGTCTATTAATCATAAGAGGAAGTTGGAGGAGGCGTGGACTATTGAAGAGGCTGATTTCAATTTGTGGGGGTTGACTATGGACTGCTTCTTGCCTCCTTCTGACTTGAAGAAGGATGATTGAGCATTTGCCGTCATGATTGTAGATCTTCGTGTATGCTTTTTGGTAGAAATGTATTTTTAACCCTAAACATATTATTTTACTCTATTTTCCCTAATCTCCAGTGTTTAATTTGTTGTGCAGGTATCAAATATTTGAGATGTCGTAATTCTGGAAAAGAGATTAAATAATAATAGAATAAGATAATTATTCATCTACGCATTTATCGATGTATATGTACTACTTATTCCTTCATTTTTCTTTTGTTAGTTTCAAATGCATGATTTTAAAGATTAAGCATTCAGATTAATAACTATCTAAACATGTGCATATTATTCATAATTAGCATGATGAATAATAAATAAAGTACAGAAAGATTAGGGCAAAATGTTTCCACTTACATGTATACATTCGAACGCGTGACTTCTCTCAAGTAGATTAGTCAGAAGTGAAGAAATTTCTACATTGTAACTTCTTGTGTAGGTACCAAATACTTGTGACCATGTAATTTTGGAAGACAACAAACAGTAGGAGAAAAAAAATATCTAACTACCAATTTATCAAGATATAATATTTTGTGTTATTTTTTTTTTCTCCTCTTTGTTGGGGAGAAACCCCTATGCCGAGATCCAACCAAATAGCCGAAAGAGATAAACCAACACACCAACAAGAGCACAAACAATAAAACATCAGATTTTACGTGGTTCGGCGAGATGCCTACGTCCACGGGGCAAGGAGGGGGGAGTTTTCACTATTAGAAATCAAGAGGAACAAACTAGGGTTACAAATCTCTCATAAATCCTCAACAAATCAACTCTCAATCTCTCCAATTGCTCCTAGAATAGAAGCCCAAAGAAAACTCATTTCAACAGCTCAAAACACTTGTCTTACAAACCCTAGAAAACACCCATTGTGTATTTATACAAGTCCAAAACGAAACGGGTCTGGAAACAAAACTCAGCCCAAAACCCGCATCGCGGTCGACCGCAGCGCCATGTGCGGTCGACCGCAGCGCCATGTGTGGTCGACTGCGAAAAGTCCAGAGGCTCACCCAACTCTCTGGACCAAATGCGGTCGACTGCCGCTCCATGTCCGGTCGACCGCCCAATATCCAGAGCCAAAAATCCATCTGCGTGCACATTTCGGTCGACCGCAGCTCCACTGTCGGTCGACCGCCAGACGCTCAAAAGCACTCCTTCGACTTTTTCAGCGGTCAACTCCATACACTCGTCGAATCTACAATTCTCCACCTCGAATCTACAATTCTCCACCTCGGCGAACGTTTTCCCAAAACTGAGCCGACACCGACCAAACCAGTGCCTCAACTTGTTGCATCCAGTACGCCATGGCAACGGACTCATGACAACAGACCCCATCTATAACATGTCGAGACCCAAACGGGAGTGCGAACACTCACCCCAAAACAACTGTGTTTACTCACCAAATCGGCTGCATCATAACTGACTGCCTACGTATCCTCTCCAAGAAATCAAGCCTTCACGTAGTTCACCAAATGGCCTCCAAAGGCCTTCAGTCCAAACTACGGCTGATAGCATCATCAACGACCCCAAACTGAAGCGATCCAAACACCTCCACCTGAGGTGAAAAAATGACCGTATCCAAGCTATATCCACCAGCTGCACTCGAATCTAACAACTCGTCATCCACATCCATATCCAAATGACTCCCACGCTATGCCACCTCAGCTGAAAAACCCAATAATGCAGAATGACCTGGAGTATGTGGAGTAAGCTCCACCCAATGTGGAGTAGCATCACTCTCCACCCGCTGGGTATCCCTCTGATCTGATCAATACTCTCTACCTGCCAAGAGTCCAAAGTGACAAAACTGCTCAGACCAAACTCAGAAGCTCCTAACTGATAGCCGAATGAACTCCTGAATCCCAAATGCGCAATCAGATCCAATCTCACATCAACGATGTGACCAAGTGCTAGGTAGCCAAATATCCGACGCCGACCAAAATCTGAAACAGCTCCACCAAATCTAACAACTCTACACGCAGCAGTAGGCAACCTCATAAGATGACCCAAACCTATCGAAGCCTGAATACCAAATCCACTGCTCGACAACCAATGCTGATCCTCCTCCAGAAAAGAACGGCCCACTAAATCTGCCATCTCATCACGTCGCCCCACTGTCTCCTCCCCTAAGAAGTGTCTCCAACTGCCATGAGCTCGGCACCAATGCAAGAAAAGACCCCTACTAGAACTAGTATGACGGGTAACCTCTCTGCCCATACACCTCCTCCAACTGTTGCGGACTACTAGGGCATTATACCAACGGGACTTGGTTGCAACCCAAATATGCCTAGTACAATCCCCAACATAGGAAACAAAATAACGATTACCTCCCAATGATACATACATGGAAGGCCCCCCAATGTCTGACTGAACACCTCCAATAAGACCCCTCGATCGGTGTATAGAAGTGCTGAACTCCACCTCGGTCTCCTCGCTCATCCTAATGTGCTTACAAGACTTCAATCTGCAGGTCATAGCACTCCTCAACAATCTGTGCACGGCATAACCAATAATATATCCCAGCACCAAACAATGCCACAGTCTAGCCAAAGAAGTCGTCAGCGCTCTATCAATCATCGTGCTCCCGAGCAGATAATACAAGTTACTCCTCCTGACGCCCTTTATCACAATCATAGACCCCGATGTGACCTTCAAGCGAGAATCCGCCAAGGTCACCCTATAGCCTGCTGCCTCCAATACCCCAAGTGAAATGATATTCTTCCTCAGTTGAGGAACAAACCTCACATCAACCAACTCCCGAACCATCCCGTCACTCATCCTAATCCGAACGGTACCAATATCACCAATAGGGCATCTGTGATCATTACCCATAAGAACAGCATCCCTTCTTTCCAACTCCTGAAAGCTGGAGAACCAATCCCTCCTAGGGCATATGTGGTAAGTAGCACCTGAATCCAACATCCACTCGGTGGAGTCGGCAACACCAACTGAAGGAAAAACTGGGCACGAATAGTCTGAAGAATCTGAATCTAAAACGTCGCCACTAGCCTTGGCAACATTCACCTCTGAAGCTTGAATAACTTTCCATTTATTCTTCCTGGCTTGTAATTTTGGGCATTCGGCTTTCCAATGTCCATCCTCTCTACAAAAGGCACATTGATTCCTACCAACTGAAGGATGCCCCCCTCTAGATTGCGACCTCCTACCACGGTTTGGACTTCTAGCTCTTACAACCAATGCCCCCGCAACCGGCTCAATGGAAGTCTCCTTGTCCTTCTTACGAAGTTGATAATTCACAAGAGCTGCGGTGACCTCACTATACGAAAGAGATGTCTTCCTATTAATAAGAGTGAGGACGAATGTCTCATATTCCTCGTCGGGCAAGGAACTCAATAATAACAATGCCTTGTCCTCGTCTTCAACTATAACATCCACATTCGCCAAATCTGCAAGTAGCTTCGTGTAGTGGTTCATGTGATCACTAATGGATGTCCCCTTCTTCAATTGGAAGCGATAAAGCCTCATCTTCAAATGCAAACGATTTTCGACGATCTTCGTCAAATATTTGCCCTCTAGGACCTCCCAAATCTTCTTTGCCAAAGTTTCATTCATCACATCATATTTTAGATCTTGGGTAAGACAAGACCTAATCACACCACACGCCGTTCTATTCATTTTCTTCCAAACCTTATCATCCATGTTGTCCGGTTTTCCGTCCAACTCTAACGTATCTTCCAAATTTTGCGCATTTAGCGCATCCATGACTTCGCATCGCCAAAGTCCAAAATTATTTGTGTCATCGAACTTTTCCACATCTATCTTCATAGAATGGACATTCAAACTTTGGACGGTCTTCACACTAGAAGAACCCTCCCCACTTTTATCTTTTCCGGCCATATATCTCAAAGCACCCAATAAACAATTGTGAAACAAATAGGAAATAGATCCAACTTGAAAAAGATAGAAACTTTACCATAAAGATCCAATCTTTATCACCAATCGAAGCTCTAGATGAACTTCCCAACTGATCTACACCTCCAAAAAGCCCAAGCGTTGCCCGGAGCTCTGATACCACTTGTTGGGGAGAAACCCCTATGCCGAGATCCAACCAAATAGGCGAAAGAGATAAACCAACACACCAACAAGAGCACAAACAATCAAACACCAGATTTTACGTGGTTCGGCGAGATGCCTATGTCCACGGGGCAAGGAGGGGGGAGTTTTCACTATTAGAAATCAAGAGGAACAAACTAGGGTTACAAATCTCTCATAAACCCTCAACAAATCAACTCTCAATCTCTCCAATTGCTTCTAGAATAGAATCCCAAAGAAAACTTCTTTCAACAGCTCAAAACACTTGTCTTACAAACCCTAGAAAACACCCATTGGGTATTTATACAAGTCCAAAACGAAACGGGTCTGAAAACAGAACTCAGCCTAAAACCCGCATCGTGGTCGACCGCAGCGCCATGTGTGGTCGACCGCGAAAAGTCCAGAGGCTCACCCAACTCTCTGGACCAAACGTGGTTGACCGCCGCTCCATGTCCGGTCGACTGCCCAATATCCAGAGCCAAAAATCCATCTGCGTGCACATTTCGGTCGACCGCAGCTCCACTGCCGGTCGACCGCCAAACGCCCAAAAGCACTCCTTCGACTTTTTCAGCGGTCAACTCCATACACTCGCCGAATCTACAATTCTCCACCTCGAATCTACACTCTTGTATTAGTTAATTTCAAATGCATGATCTTAAGGTTGAACGGTTAAGTTATAGTAACATACATTACTCATTGTTCAAAATAGCTTAAATATATTTGTCTAACTTTTACTTGTAGTGAACTCTTTCTCCTGCAAAATATCATCTCCCTTTTTACCGTCATGTTTATATGTTTGCAATGTTATTATAAGAAGAGTAGTGATAATTTGGGCTTCAAATTCTAGTACTCAGCTTGTTCTACAAGAAAGAGGAGCGTCGGGCTCCTAATGAGTTATAAATTACGATAGCAATCTACAAAGAAGAACCCCTCACGTACAGACCTCTAGTTTTGTTTATAGTCTAGTTAATATTATTCATAAGTTGATATGTACTCAAGTCCTAAGTTGATAATAACTTTCCTTCCAAAAACTTTTTGATTTATGTATTATAAGGGTGAGTTATGTACTTTTGGAACTTGATATTTGCACAATGGGTCTATACCAATCACTATTTATGATGTATATAGTGTAAATTCGATTTATTTTATGTATTATTTTACAGATTGATTCTCAGACCACTCATCCACCACCTGTTATTCCTGCTACTACTCCGCCGACTTTTGCCCATTCTCCTCCGGACGCTCAGGATTCTACATCTGCTGCTCAACGTTCTCTTCAGGATATTTCAATACAAAATCCTCTTGCTAGTCGATTGGGAGGCGTGCTGGGGGCGTCTTAGGGGGTTTTACACAAGAAGGCTACAGCAATAAGGACATTCGCAAAGCTTTTGCTGATTATTTTCGATTAACTCAGTCGTGAGTTGTACTTTTAACATATTTAAGACATTTATATATTTCGGATATCCTCTTTATGTTTGGGACTTGAGAAATTTATAAGGTGTCATATTCAGATTCTTGTCAATCTTTTGTTTTGGCTTTATGCGTGGGAATATATATGTTGTGAACAGTTATATTATGTATTTTTGTGGGAAATGAAGTGTATGTAAACATGGCAGGAGGAATCAACAAAAGTGAAAAAAATAAAAATGCAATCACCAACGGTTGGGATCGTTGGTGCAAGTTTCAGAACTATTAGTGCACGAAACTTGCACCAACGATTTGAAACGTTGGTGATTGTGTTGCCCACCAACGGATGGAACTGATGATGCAAGATTTAGCACCAATGGTTGCAACCGTTGGTGTCTTTTTTATAATTTAAATTATTTTTTGAATATTTAATTAAATATTTACAGGTACCAACGATCAGAGCCGTTGGTGTAGAGTTTTCACCCGCTAGGACCATTTCAGCCCCAACGCTTGTTGCACCAACGAGTTTTTTTCTGCCCCTATCGTTGGGGACATTACCTGCCCCAACGGTTACAACCATTGGGACATGTCTCCTTTGCACTAGTGATTGGGTCGTATTTAAGATCTTTGTTCATCTTAAAACATGAACATGAAAGGATAGTAAAATTTAAGGATTAATTTTAGAAATCCTCCCCTCAACTATACGGATTGTCTCAGAAAATCCCTCAATTTCTAAAAAAAATCCCCTCAATTTTGGGAGCGTTATAAATAATCCGTTCAATGCCTTCAAAACAAGATTTGACCCCCCTGAATTTTCTTCACTTAGAGCCCCTTGAACCCATCCCCCACCAAAAAAAAAAGTGGTAACAAATATTAAATCTAACACAACATGGGAAAATCACGTGGTTTAAAATGACCATACTACCCACTACCCTAAGAGATTAAGAATTTATCTTTCTGTGCCTTTTATTTTTATTTTTCGTTAAAACACCTCCCCTTTGTATTTCCCTCCTTTTCTTCTCCCTCTAATGCCATTGCTAGGTCCAGCTCAAAACCGGAATTATTATTTTTTTTCTTTTTTAAAACTTCAGATTTCTATTAATTCTGTACTTATTCATGCTTCTAATGTCTAAAAAAATTTGATATTTCGGGGTTGTTTTTAAAGATGTTTATTTCCTCATCAAAACTTATTGAATTTAAGACTAATAATTACGGGTTCCTTCCGTCAAAATAATAATAATAATTGTGGGTTATTTTAACTTTGGTTGGCTGTTTTTAACTTTTTTTCTTTCTTTTATTTTTTATTTTTTTATTTTTGTGCAAGCAATCGTGTTTTAGCCATTACACTTTTTGAATTAACAAAGTCTAGGGGTTATTTGATAAAACTATAAATGCTAGAGGGGTTTTGTGAAACACCTCATAGTTGAAAGGGGGTTACGTTATATTTTGAAAGTTGGGGATTATCTATAAGACTCCCAAAATTGAGGGGGTTTTCCTACAGTTAAAATCGTTGATGGAGGTTTCCTCAGACAACCCCCATAGTTTAGGAGAGTTTTCTAAAACTAACCCAAATGTTAATCTTGGATAACACTTTTCCCTTTTACTTTTTTTTTTCCTTCTTTAAATTGTCAAGAAGAAGATGAATTATAAAATCACATCAAAATTATAATTAGGAAAACAATTTTTTTAACCCTACATGATTACAAGACAATCATGGATTACCTTTAGTGCACATAGTTCTGCAGTTATCCAATTTCACGAAATTTACTCATCATCATGATTTGGTTGTGCGAAAATATGTACATTACAATGAATACATTTCATAGTATTACTCATTAGCTTAAAATATAAATGGGTAGCTATGTAGCAGGTACACACAGCTACAGTACATATTTTTATAATCTTCACATAATAGATAGTGTAAATAACATTACAAATATTAAAAAAATACAAAACTCGTATTTTTATAATCTTCACATAATAGATAGTGTAAATAACATCACAAATATAAAAAGAATACAAAACTAAACTGAAGGACCGAGCAGCATCTATCAGTTTAAACAAGAAACAAAAACAGCATCCATTAGATAATGGTGTACCACAAGATGACATCCAAGCAACACAGAATCACTCGAGTTAAAAAATTTTGTTTCAGAAAAAAACCGAAAAATCAATTGAAGATCAGTGTCATGTTCTTCCAGGACACTGTTATATCCCTTGGTAGGTTATTGCAAGTTTTTCTCGATACAAAAAAAACTGTTTGAAAAGGACAACATCAAATTGTTCGAAATAGACAACATCGAGTACCCATTTAATGACTGAGCGCAGCTGCACCCGATATGATCTCAGACAACTCTGTGGTAATCGCAGCTTGACGAGTCCTGGTGTAAAAAATTTCAAGTGTCAGTATTATAGACAGTGAATACCAAATTACCAAGAAGTGTCCATTTGACAAAACAGCGAGACCTGTTATAAGTGAGAGTGAGGCGATCAAGCATATCACCGGCATTTCTGCTGGCGTTGTCCATGGCCGACATTCTTGCTCCAAGTTCACTGCATGCATTTTCTAGGACTGCGTTGAACATCATCTGCAAATCCCCAGAAATTAAAGTTCAAAGGTTTTAACAACCAAAAAGCAAATACTTAAATAGTATATTATCTAGCCATGCATAATCCTTAAAACTTTGTAGGGGGATGTCAGTACAAACTGTGATAGGAGAGCAACGGGATTCAACTATCTAGACAAGAATATGATTTAGGGAATTACAGAAGTTATTTGCTTTAGAAAGTTGTCAAGAAAAAAAAGCTATTTGGTTTAGCAAGTTTGTGAATCTCCTATTTCTATGCCTTCTCGCTGTAGCCTATTAGAATTTTGGCACAAATAGACCTTTGTTGATTTTCAAAGCACAACTGAGAGATTAAAACGGTGGTATCCCATCCACTAACTGCCATTCTAGGTTCGATATGATGAAGGCTTGTTCCACCAACCATAATCATGTGCAGCAAAGATCTGGCAGCTAGGGAATTATGCCAATTAGCATTCTAAGCTTTTTCTCCCTAGTCTAAGAGAATTTTGGAACAATAGGACCTTCGCATTGTTTTAAAGCACAACTGAGTGACAAAAAGGGTGGTCTTCTATCCACTAACTGCCATTTTAGGAGATGGGACCCTTGTTCCAGCAAACATAATAGTCCAAATAAAGATATACAGCACCACATATGAGCTCGACAACCAAAATGTTATTGAAATCATTACATGGAGCCTTCGTAACTATGAGTTGTATACATGATAGATAGCAAAAACTCATTTGAAGGAGGGTTGAAAATGATGAGACTAGAAAAAATAATTATGCTTAAGCTCATAAGTAACCGAACATACGCAAGAAAACTGGAATTCTGTAAGATTCTGAAGTACTTCAGCTTTGGTTTCTGCCCCTTCTATTTCATATGAATCCAGATCACCAAGTCTTCCTCCAGATTCAGACTCTCTCTCCACCACCTGCGAGATACAGCATCTAGGTAAAATTTAATTCCTCTTTTTCAATAATTGAAGTGGAAAGAGTAAGAATATAAGATCACCTCAGGAGATAGTATGGTTGAAATCGTCGGGATGAATTGGACAACTGAATGGAACTTGTTGTAAACAATCCTCAAAGCATCATACTCCACATTCTTTAGGATATCATCAGCAAGCACAGAAACCTGATGTACAAAAGAAGCAAGATAAGATGGAAGCAACTACTGGAGCAACTAAAACCAGTTAGTTCAAGGGCACATTTGAAATGCACGTGGGTAAAAAGTACAATATAAATACAGCTTCATGGAAACAATTTAATAGATTTAAGAATAATGTCACATTGTCACATCGGTGTGACATGAAAGGTTATATTTGAGATATCACTGCCGTCTGTCCAAGAAAGAAGGTATGAATTAATGTCACAAGATCTAATGTAACAAGATCCCTAAGAAACTTGAATATTCCTTTAGAAAAAACAAATGATCATTTATTTCTTCATTTATTTGCTCCATCATTCTTAGAATAGCTAGACCAGTATTCTGTGAATAGTCAAGAACATTGAAGGAAAATAATAAAACTCCCTAACGAATGTACTTTTTTTCACCTTAATTGAGACTAGAGTCTGATCTAGCATATTACCCACTAAGGTGTAAAAAAATCCAGATGCTCTACTCACGATGGTGTTTCAATCCTAATATAACAGCCTCCTATTTTCTTCGTTGAGAACGAGAAGTAATTGAGTCAAAGGAATTTGAATCTGGAACTATTGTCAGTTGCAATATTTTACCGTGACGCTACAATAGTAATACGAAACCCTTTTTCTCCCTTCATTTCAAAGTTGCACCAATACCTTTTCGGCTTCACCGAGAAAAATCTGCTACTCGTAGTTAATCCTCAAATGGATCTCATTGTGGCTTTTTTAAACTAATTCATAATGATTTCTTCAGTTCAAAACTCTCTGCTTAGCTTTAAGTCTATAACTGAAGTTTCTATCTTTTATTTTCACATTAAGTTAGCATTTAAGAAGAAACTATTTTCTCCAAAAAACAATATTCTTAACTAAAATGCTTGTACGTGGCAGATGCATAACTAAATAATTTGATAAACCAAATTTCTATGGGTACCATTTAAAGTATGGAAATGTAATTTGTTCTATGTTGTTGGATTAACCATTTTTAACTTTTTGTGCATTTGACCATCACCCTTGAGTCCATTACTGTGGAAACATAAACAGCCTATCATATCTAACCGATCAAGTTATAAACAAGTTTAGGCAAGAAACCAAAGGCATTGCATATTTTCAGCTATTAGATGAATAACATTATTACAGAATTCAACAAAAGAGTAACCAATGAGCTGAATATTGATGAATCAAAGGCTTGCTTAATTAATTTGAAATTTGATTTGATATTAGCTCTCTGGGTAGCAAGAGAACGGTCAGTTAGAAGTTACTATATAACAACCAAATGCCTAAGAAATATGAATCAAACTCAGCTCAGCATGCTAAACAGTTAACTTACAACATAATTAGAAAAAAAAATTACACATAAATCATTATGAGACTTATAAAGAAATATATCCTTATATACACAGACCAAAACGTTGAACAGAAAGAACTTCCTAAAAAAAGAGCTTCTATTATTTGCATCTGAAATAACGATGTCGAAAGGTATCTAACCTGAGTATAATTTAATGGATTCTTTTGCAACTCAGTTACACTCAGTTCCATGCTTTTCTTTGAATCGCGTAAGAATTGAACCTTCCCCTTTTCTCCCAACACAACATACTTGGTTTCTTTTTCAGGACCTATTTACAAAGGAAGCATTAAAATCAATGGTTATCAAGGGAAACTACAAACCTAATCATAACTACAAACCTAATCATGGATCTATTTCCAGATAGTACCAGAAGTTAGCTTGAAGAGAGTCTTGCTGACTTTCACTGTCGTAGAGTTAATGCCTCCACAAAGACCTTTGTCAGAGGAAACAGCAATGATAACATTCTTCTTCACATCAACACCTGGAAGCGGAAAACAAAAAAATTAGGGTTAAAAATTTAGAAATGGGAATAAAAAGGCAGAATAACCACATAATTAAGTCTTTTAAACTGGAAAGGGAATAATCACACCATTAATTGATATGCGAACAAAAGATGCACAAAAGCAGAAACAAAAATTTGCAAGTGTCAATTAGCCAGGAATTTAATAAAAATACGAATGGGAGCGTAGCAGCCTGCACTACTGAGCACATCATAGTATAATAATATATTAACAAAAAAGCTTCTACATCCAGTGGCAATCCCTTTCCACAGTACTTAATCAAAGGTGAATAAAAACTTCTTTCATAACAAGCACAGGAAGATGCCTACTAGAGGGGATCCATCAGCGGAGAATTAGCCCTTGGCCCCTTAACTGCAGATTCAGTACCAAACTGTGATTTAAGATAAGGGGATACCATTATTCTTTTTCTCTCGAAAATGAAAATGTTAAGTATAAACATCCATCTTTTTAGTACTTATTTGACCCTAACCCATCCATTTTAAGTTCGACAACGAACTTGATACCTACGGTGGTTCATTCATGAGAGAGCACTAAGCCCCACTTAGCAAAGGTTTAACTAAAGAGGGCTTAAGGAAAAGGGTTAAGCCAGTTAAACCATTAACCCAAAGGATTAAATCAGTTAACCCATTTCTTAACCCAAAGGTTTAAGGAAAAGGTTGCCTGGTCCTGGGGTCTCCTTAGACCAGGCATTACACTATATAATACTGGACACATGTAGTTCTAACAATTATTCAACAAAAAGAACACAAATTACAAACTAATGTCACAGCAATCTAACTGTTGTTGCAATCTAACTTCTATTGATTTTTCCTATTCTAAAGTTTTCCTCGTCGCAATTTATATTGATTAGAGTTACTAGTATTAGAGACTTAAGAGTAATTCGTATATTAGGAAAGTCAGAGCAATTTGTTGCTCATTGGAAAACTATGGAATTGTATCCTAACGTCTATACTCGCTCTACCATAAATAATTGTAAAACCTGATGATCCCTCTCTGGATACAAATTTAATTTTCTTAAACTTGATAATATTACAGTAAGATAATCACTTAGCAGGTCAGCTCTTTCAATTTCAATGGCGAACCTGTCGTTGCATACCAATGGGATATCAAATATAGATGTACCAAGATGAATCGACTACTATACAAATGCGTAAACAATAACTGACAATTGTAATGTCTTTGACTATATCTTATCACATTGGGGATTCCTAGAGCTTTATTATACGTTAAGGATCATTAAAAATCCTGTAAATAGAGTATATTTGTGCTCAAAGAAGAGGCTCGATCAGAAATTATAACTTTAACTTTCACTGTAAGCGCTAGAGAGTTATTGACTAATGGCAGAATACATACCAGGGGCATCCCCAAGAAGTGCAGTAAATGGCTGCCATAATCCACGTGAGTTTTCAGTTCTAGTTTGGACTGATCGTAGCTTTGATGCTGCAACCATCTTCATTGCCTTGGTAATCTTTTGAATATTCTTAACACTGCTCATCCTGTTCCTTACTGCATGTTACCAGAGAATCATAAGCAACTAAATTCGATGCAAATACCATTAGAGAACAGTTACAAGAATGCTAAAATTAGACAAGTTTCATACCTATTTGAGTCGAAACTGACCGAGCACCAAAGGGGCATGACTCTCTGAAACATAAACTCAGGTTACTACCAGAAGCAAAAGAACGAAAGAAGTATGAAAAAGCAGCAATTCTTAGAATATCACAATTAATTTCGTGCAAAAATATCTTTTTTAAATAGTATTTAAGAGTATTCTCCAGAGAAACAATTGGAACTTATACTGGGACAAAGATAATAATTACACTATAGTACTATACAGTGAAAATTTCACCATAAATGTAAATTTTCCCCAGCTTGCTGCTCAGGCTTAACAAGGACAAGGCTTATACACATAGCCAACCTAATGTTAATTGGCTTGGTCTTATTGATGATTGATACACTCAGAGAATACATAATCTGCTCAGATCACTAATAAGGTAACAAAATGACCAAAGGTATACAAGCAAAACCCTATGACAAGGCTTTAGATTGCATTCTTCATTCTATCAACCAAAGGTATACAATTTTTCTTTTGTATTATGATTTATCAAACTACAATTTCTAGATTAGAACAAAGACATGTTTGATCTTTTGTAACCCCAGAATGCCATGTTGAAATTATGTCACGGGAGGATGGTTTTCGTACAATGTCGTGCTGGCATATTCGCGCTAGCATATTCTACTTATTGGCATCATTTGATTTAATCAGTAAATGGTGGAATAAACAGGATTTTATGTTTTCCATTTCCAAAGAGTACATCACACATTGGTGCATTAAACCGGTCGTTGTATTCTTACTATTTCTTCAATTGAAGATTGTGTAGCATATATTTTCGTGAACAAGGCTATTCATTTAGTAAATGCCTCTTCTGTGTTCATCAGTCTAATAAAGAAAAGGCCGTGATTCAGTATATCTCGTT